GGTGCAGAAATCAGAAAAAGAGTAATTATTTTGTCACCTCTTTGGATCACACCACTTATAGGCTAAGGTTCCCATCCCCATTAGTATCTAATGTTTAAGAAGAAGTACATGTTTAATATATACATTTTTTTCCCCACATATGTCACAGGCCAGCATGGAAAAACCATTCAGTTTCTTTCCTGGGAGGATGAAAGTTGTTTTCCGTAAAGGGACCTCGAGGTTATCTGTGTCAGGATCCAACTGAAGCAGCTAAGCCTCTCAAGGACAACCCTTCTCTGCAGGACGAGTCTGCAGCTCTAAAGGAGGACACAGTTAAACAAAATACCCTGACTGTGGTCCGTCAGAGAGGAGGGGGTGCCACAGACAAGACAGAAGTGCTGGGGGATTACATCTTGCAGTTTGGCAAATACAAGGGGAAATCCTTTAGGTGGCTGTTGGAAAATGATGTAGGCTATACAATCTACCTCATCAACACACCCAGAAAGAAGAGGCTGCCGGAGTGCACATGACCGAGGGGCACAGCAAGGCCAGCATGGCATCTTTTGTGGGTTATGCCCGCGGCTATGATAAAATACAGTCTGTCCTGGCTTACGAACTGGGAAAACCCAAAGCTCAAGCAGCCTCAGAGGATGACCAGCTGGTTGGCTTTGGCTCTCGACCCAAGAGCACCTGGAGGGAGGTGTGGGACAGGAGGGCTGACGGCTACGCTGCCTTCATCATGAGCACCAAGTGTTTTCCAGGGACTCAGATGTACAGACTGCAGCAGTAGCTGATAAGGAAACAGTCGGCCTCTGTCTCCTCTCCACCGGTTCTTGTCTCAAGTGCACCTGATGAAGCCACCAGTAGGTTTTTTTCATCACATGTAACATATGCTTTTTACCAAAATAATGTATGTCTAATGTAAAAATAATTTTTTTACAGCACTCAAATTCTTTATGTTTGTGTCACAGTGATGGATGATGATGAGGAGCTGGAGAGAGAGATGAAGAGCATATCACCCACCAAGGAACTGGCACAGTGTTGTAAGTACATTCTTTCTTCTACTGACTGAACATTCAAAATCAATTTAGTCTCAAACAGTGTTCTTAAACGTGACGTTTGCTGTACTGTTTCATTTGTTTGTGTGGTATTTATGCCATGTGGAAATATTAGTAATACTTCATACATTTACTGATAAATGCTTTTGTCATCTGGTTGTTGTTCTGTCCTCGTAGTCCCACTGCGACAGTGAAGAGACCTGTAACCGTTCCTCCTGAGCTGCAGGTTCTGCTGACAGAGGTTGCTCATCCCAAGCAAGCAGTTCTTTCAGCGTGAACTTCAGCTAACCGAGCGCAGAGTGGAAGACAGCGCGGTAAAGAAGAGGAAACTGCCGGACCCTCAGCCTCGAGGAAGAATGTGTTGTTTCTGTCACACAGCTGAAGCAGGGTCCAAACAGCAGACACATACACACAGGACTCCCGGGAGGAAAACACATTTACTGTCCAGCTAAGATCTGCATCATAAAGACATGACAAAGGAAATGACATGGAAAGAATTTCAGGCCTCACCGTTCTATGCGATGGAGAAAGAGAGGGTGGACGAAATAAATAAATAGCTGAGGTCATACATTAGCCATCTGTTGTTCTGTTATGTTCTTCACACTTTGTCCCAAAGGTCCAGTATCTAACATTTATTTGTTTATTTATTATTATATTTATTTTGATTGTTCATTTTATTGTTTTCTTGTCACCTTAGAATGAGACGTTTTTATCTAGAGAGAGAGCATGTCAGCAGTTTGCCGTGTTGAACCACCATGTTTCTCCAGTAGCCCAAAAGGAACAGAGAAAACACTGGCTCTGGATAGAGCCTTTCACATTTTTCATGTTTCTCTGCCACCATAGTTTCTGGGGAGGGGGGGGGAGAAGCCAGTG